GTGTGGGTCACTGGGCAGGTGTGGGTCACTGGGCAGGTGTGGATCACTGGGCAGGTGTGGATCACTGGGCAGGTGTGGGTCACTGGGCAGGTGTGGGTCACTGGGCAGGTGTGGGGTCACTGGGCAGGTGTGGGTCACTGGGCAGGTGTGGGGTCACTGGGCAGGTGTGGGTCACTGGGCAGGCACCTTCAAGTTGAGCCCAGCAGTCCTGCCCGGACATGCCTGCCCTTCCTCGCTCATGGGAGGGGCAGCTGTGGGGCTGCTGAGTTGGCCTGCGCCTCCTCCTTCAGTGACCCTCAAGGCCCCCCAAGGCCAAGTCATAGTCTGCAGCGCTGGACGCGGCCAGGGGTCTGAGGAGCCGGGCCAGCCTCGGGGTGTGCGTGGAGCCCAGTGTAGATCGAGTACAAAGGACCCTTGTTCGAAAGGTATTAAGGCTGTGGGGTGTGGTGGTGCATACCTGTAATGTAGAGGTAGAGGCATGAAGGTCAGGGGTTCAAGGCCAGCCTCTGGTCCAAGGTAAGCTCGAGGCTGGCCTGAGTTACATGAGGCCCTATCTCAGAAATGAAAAGAGAGACAGAGCTGGGCCTAAACCAAGCTGTGCCCCTGCCCAGGGCAGGTCCCACCAACCTGTGTACCTGAGCAGGCCAGCCTGGCCAAGGGGACTCCAGCAGGGACAGTTCCCAACAGATGCTGGGAAGAGAGATGGGGCGGATAGGGGGAAGACAGACTATTTGGTGAAATCTTAATGTAATATAAGATAGGAGACCATGTAGGGGTGCGGCTCGGGGTAGAGTGCTCGCTAGCGTGTGTGAGGACCTGGGTTCCGGCCCCAGTACTGGAAAACAAAACAACATAACAGGAGCAAAAGGTGCAGAGGGGGCCGAGAGGTGGCTCCGAGGTCTACAGCACCCGCCGCTCTTTCCAAGGACCCAGGTTCAGTTCCCAGCACCCACACAGTGGCTCACAACCATCGGGAACTCAGGTTCCAGGGGATCGGGTACCCACTTCTGACCCTCATGCGCACCAGAAACACATGTGGTGCACAGACATACATGCAGGCAAACATATAAGCATGAAATTAAATCTAAAATCTGAGCGTGGGGGCGCACGCCTGTGATCCCAGCATTAGGGGAGGCAGAGGCAGGCGGATCTCTGTGAGTTCCAGGCCAGCCTGGTCTACAGAGCAAGTCCCCGACAGCCAGGGCTACACAGACAAATACGTTTCAAGAACAAGCAAAGAAGCCAATCTAAAAATGCACTAATAGAAGAACACTGCTTACCGACTTGTGTACAAAACAGAATGGGCCGGCGAAGTGCACACTGCCCGTGACTGTTGCTGATTTAATATTTACTATTGATTTATCTTTTAGCTAAGCAGCGGTTATTCCTACACCAGCCGTGTACCCAAATCACCACACAGAGACTGGGATTTCTTTAATTAACCTAGGGCACAATGCTGGGCAACAGTTACTCCATCCTACACCTCCAAGCCCGCATAGCTTCCTCCCATTCAGATTTCCCACATTACACTTGCTTTTTAGTCACATCTTAGGTCTGGTTCATCTCTCCTCTTGTTTCCCTGTCCTCTCCTCTCAGACCTCTCCTCCCACTCCTTCTTTCTCCTCCCCTCTGGAGCAGGATGTCCCACCCTGTTCTCTCCATTGCTCAGCATTGGCTGGTTGTCTTATTGACAACACAGAGAACAAATGGTGGCGTGTTTACACAAACTTGAGACAGGTGATGCTTAGAATAAAGATAAAGCAATGTCGGGATTGAAACCAGCTGGGGGGGGGGGGTAGAGAAATCAGCCTGTGAATGAACAAGAGCAAATTGTGTACATTCCACAAGACTATTATGTTACTCAAGAGGCTAATACAGGATCAAGAGTTCAAGGCTAGCCTGGGCTATAGTTGTGAGAACTTGACTCAAACCCCAACGACAGGAGCTGATGTGGTGCCACATTCCTTTAACCACAGGGGTCTAGGCAGTTGTCTGTGTGTTCGGGGCCTGCCAGGTCTACACAGTGAGACCCTATCTCAAACAAACAACAGCAACAAAACCCACAGGGAACAATGAAGAAAAGAAGTAGGAAGTGTATAAACTGGCTGCATGACCCACCCAAAGGTTCTTATTGTAGATATAAGGAAGAGATCCGCCGGGGGCATCTGGAAGAGACCAGATGAAGTAGTGGACTGAACTTGGTCAGCAGACTGGACCTGGCCATGAGAGAAGAAGGGGGGGGGGGAGAAAGACAGAGAAGACCAAGTGTGAGGAAGAAGAAAGGGCCTAGAGAGAGAACTAAGAGGAGAGAGAGAGAGAACGAGCACAGAGCCAAAATAGCAGGGTTATAAGGAGAAATGGGAGAGCTGGGGGAGGGGAGTTCCTGAGCTACAGGAGTTCAGGGGGAGGGCAGGGATGCTAGCTTGCATGGCCTCTGAAATGTGTGACAGGTACTTGTGAGACTGAGGCAGCCCGGGGTCAGCACGAGCTTTGCTACGGCTAATGGTGCCACGCCACAGACAGCCACTTGTCACGTTTGTCAGTGGCAGAAGGGACCCCAGCTTCACAAGTCCCTGAGTGCTGGCTCTTATCTAACCTGCCAGAATTTGGACCTGAGAGGAAGGAAGCAGAGAGGGAGGGAGAAAAGAAGGAAGGAGGGCAGAGCGAGAGAGGCACAGAAGGGGGGAGAAAGTGAAGGACCCAGAAACCTCCTTTGCTCTCTGACCGGCTAGAGCAGCTTGGGTGGTCTTGGCCATTTGTATAAACGGGGCCTGAGTGGTTTCTTCTTGCTCAGCTTCTCCTGATGCTGTGTGAGAGCCTTCGAGGCTCACTCTCACCCATCACACTCACACCAGTGTGATACAGAGGACCAGCCTCAGGGAGCTGCTGCTGCTGCTGCTGCTGCTGCGAGCAGAAACTTACCACCTCAGAAAACCAGGTCTCCCTGAACGGTACTGTAGGTCCACTCCTGGGTACCAGTCGGCCAGGAGGGCCCGAGCAACACTCCCAAGAATGCATCATCAGCACAATTTGTGACAGTAAATTCACAAATAGAATTCTCCCCCCACACACACACACACACACATCCTTGTGGGCCTGTACTCTCTAGTATGGCATGGCTGTGTGTGGCCCTGGGCCCGGGACACGCAATAAACTTGGTCTTGAATGAAATGAAGAGTTCTGTCTCAGGAGCAGTTTCCAAGAACAAAGCTAAGAAAAATTCCCCAAGTGACCATGCTGAGCGTGGGGCGTGGGGCCTGTGCTGCCCATCAGTCTGTCCCCATCCTGGCAAAGGGATTTGCATATAGAAATAAGGCTGGCAGTGGGATTTGCATATAGAAATGAGGCTGGCCGTGGAATTTGCACATAGAAAGAATTAAGGCTGGGCCCCCATAACCTCAGAGCGGAGAGCTAACCGGCAACACCCTCCCTAGCCTTTTCTCTAGACTCCTCAGATTCCAGGTTGGCTCTCACTGGGTTCCCTAACGAACTAGCTTCTAGCTTCATCAGCCAACGCCTCCCGGTCTCCTCAGCAAGAGGGGCTCAATGAAAGACGCTGACCTCACACTTCTCAGGCTCTGTGGGGACCAAGGACCGCAGGCTCCTGCCAAGAGGCGTCCTCAGGATGCTCCTTCCATCCTGAAGAACACAGGCCCCACTGCCTCAAGGTGGAGCCTTCCCCTCCCCCACAGGGGCTCCTAGAATTCCCTTCCTTTGGCTGTTTGTGGGTGTCCGGCCCTGGCTTCGGCAAGCCTGCCATTCACCTCCAGGGGACCCACTGCTCCCAAAACAAGAAGGATTTACCAATTGCTCAAGGTGTGCCAGTCAGGTCTGTGCTTCAAGCCTTTTTCCATCCATAAATGTTTTGGTTTGGATTTGGGTTTTTAATTTTAATTTTTATTTTTTTTTAATTTTTGAGACAGGGTCTCCCTGTGTAGCCCTGGCTGGCCTGGAACTTGCTATGCAGACCAGGCTGGCTTTGAACTCACAGACAGCCTCCTGCCTCTGCCTCCAACTGCTGGGTTAAAGGAGTGTGACCCCATGGGTGACCATGACGCTCTCTTAACCCTTACAGTGTAAACCCTCTGAAGTGGGTTCTTGCTAGAACACACTTGAGGAAATGAGGCTCAGAGAGACAGAACGCTGCAGCGACGCTGACAGAAACAGCAGATCCAAGGCGGCAGGCGCTGGTGAACGGCCGGGTTCTGTCAGGTGCCGCACATCCATGAGGACCTGAGCTCAGTTCTCCAAAACACAGGTCAAACCAACAGCAAAGCAGACGCCAAGGCAACCGCGAGCTTATAATCACCGTGGTGGGAGGCAGAGGCACGCGGTTCCGTGCAGCTTGGCGCCTGGCAAGGCCAGGCTACCCTGGGTGCCCCCTGCCAATGGGAGGCCCACACTCAAAAGCAAAAGGGGATGGCTCCTAAGGAGTGACATCTCAAGCTCACATGTGTATTCCCCCAACACACACAGACATACGTGTGTGCGCGCGCACACACACACACACACACACACTCAAAACCAAACCCGAACCACTCAGTTGGGAGCCAGGCATGGCAGCCCACACATCTGTAATCCCAACATACAGGAGTTAGAGGCAGGAAGATCAGAAGTTCAAGGCCAGCCTCAGCTATAGGAAATTCAAGGCTAGCCTGGGCTACAAGAGACCCTGTCCCAAACAAACAAACAAACAAACAAACAAACAAAGAAATCCTTTGTTTTTCACCCAGCACGCAGGTTTATCTTTGCTTCCTCCTTTCTGGGCTCAGTCAGCGAGATGGCTCAGAGGACAGAGAGCATTTGCTCCCTCACACAAGACATGCAGGTTCAACTAGTGAAAGTCCTAAAACTCTGCTTACAAAAATGCTGTCAAGAGTAAATTGTTGGTTGGTTGGACAAGATCTCTAGTAGCCCAGGCTAGCCTGGAACTCAATGCGATGCTGAGGGTGACCTTGACTCCTGAGCCTCCACATCTGGAGTGCTGGGATACAGCTGTGTACCCCATGCTCGATTTATGGGCTGCTGGTCCCAGACCCGGGGCTCCACGGAAGTTCAGTACTCCACCAGCTGAGCTGTGGCCTCTCTCCAGTGCGCCCCCCTCCCACCAGAGCCTCCTTCCCGAGCCCTGGAGAGCCAAGGAGTTCCTTTTCCACATCCCTGGGGGCTGGAGTTTCAGGGGTGACTTGGAAATCACACAGGGGACGCCTGTGGCCCTGTTTTCCAGGGACAAGATGAGATGGAGCCATTTTCCCACAGGAACGGGCTCGGTGAAGGATGAGCCCTTTCTCTTCAGCCACGGGCCAGGCCACGTGTCCCCAGTGGCGCCCCACTGTCTGCAGCGCAGCCATGAGGAGCCACCCTGCCTCACTCCGGAGCCCTATCTGGAACGTTCTCTTCTAATTCATCCCATGACTTTGTCAGCCGGGACTCCTTCCCCGTGGGATTAGCTGGAACCCCTTCCTTTTCCAGCAACCAAGGCCGGTTCACTCCAGTCCACCAAGGTCACTTATCTCCCTCCGAGATAAGCGAAATCGAAGCTGCTGGGGGAAAAACACGGCACAGCTGTGACTCAGCTTGTTACGGATTTCCCAATAACATTTTAACCAGCTGCCTCTTCTCTGGAGACCATTAGCAAAGTACACAGACTAAACCGGTGTGCCAGGCTGGTCTTGCCTCGGACTTGAGGCTCACCATTTTTTTTTTTTTAAAGCAGGATTTCTGGCAGTTAGATGAAAGCCAGCGTCCCTCTGGCAGAAGGAACACATGGACCTATTAACATACACCTACCTGAGCTGCTTCGGCTCCCTCAGTCCCTGTTCACCAGTACCTGTACATTTCAAAGCCCCTACCTGGGGTTTCCTGGCCCTTGCCACCAACCAGCTACAGCTACCCTCTCTAGTCCTCCTCCTCCCTCTCAGGATGTTCCGTTCTCCATCTCTCCCTATCTCCCCATCTCCACCATTCTCTTCTGCTCTCCCGTTTCCCTAGCCCTGGGGCCACATCCACTTTGCTGGCCCTGATCGGTCTACTTCTTCCTCTCTCTGCTCTGGATCCAAATGCTCCTGGCTGTTCTCTCCTTAACCATCGCTGCTCGGTCCTGCCGGCAGGACCCTGCGTTGCTGCGATTGGAGGCAGACACTACTGCACCTGACGTACTTCGGTGCTGCGGATGGAACCTGGGCAACCGACTCACAGCATCCCCTGGCCGGACACTCTACTGTGGTGGACCGCAGAGGGAGTCCACGTCCTTCCATCGTGGTAGCAAAAGGTACGCTTGTGGCACAGACAGACACACATACAAAAGGGAAAGAACCAATTAAAAGCCCTTTTCTTATGAGTATTGAGGTGGACAATGGCACTTTGCTTTTCAGTGATACGATGTATTACACAGATATCCCATAAGCTCTTGTTGTTGTTTTGAGACAGTCTCAAATTGGCTGCAATCCCTCTGCCTCAGCCTCACGAGTGCTGATTACTGGTAGGAATGAGGCATCACACCCAACTCTTAAACTCTTGATCTATGTGTCAGAGATAAAACTAGATCCTCACTCAAATGCCAGGCCTTTAGCCTGGCCAGGAAGAAACTGCTATTATTACCGGGAGGACCTGACTCCTCCCAGTTAAAGCTGAGCCTCAAGGCAGCAATCCCTCTGTCTCATGCCAGGCAGAGGGCACCTCTCTCCTTCTGGGAACTGGGACTGGCAGGGAGAAATGGCTTGGGAGGGAACTTGAAGGAAATAAACATTTTATCTCAGAAAGCAGAGCCCTCTCCATCACACAGAGCCTCCCTCTCCATCACACAGGACAGACGCCCCAACCAACTGACAGAAAGCTCTGTCAGCTGGAATTGCAGGAAGTGCCTCAGGGATGGATTTGAGGACTGAAGAGGAGACCAGACCCATCGGCACTGGTCTCCCCACAGAGAGAAGCCACCATCAGCCTTGGGATAAATTCCCCAGCAGCTCCCCTTAGAATAGCCCCCTGGGACCAGGTCTGGGGAGATGGCTCAGTGCTCAAAGAGCTTGCCGTTCTCAGGGGAAATCTGAGGAAACGGATCATCGCCACACATCAAAACACGGTAGTAGGCTAATTTATCACAGGGAAGCCTGAACGGGCATAGCCCGGGATGGAGACAGTGGGATGGGAAACTGAGAGATGTACACGTCAGGCTACAGCCTATAGATTGGCCTTTTCCCGGAGGAAGAAGAAATCCCACAGACCAGCAGCCAGAAATCTCAGCATCAGAGTGTCCGTTTGCCTCTGAGTGTCCCTTAAACAGATCCCTGGCGTGCGGCCGCTCCTGCCACCCGTGGGAGCCCGAAGCATCTGGAAACTGAGGCCCAAGGTCACACAGGTAGACACTGAAGAGAGTGACATCGGCTGCTGCCAGAGTCCTCCAGGTGGGAAGACGCTATGTGAGAATTCTACCAACCCCCCCCCCCCCCCCCCCCCCCTCTCACTGGGGACCTCCTGCCCCCGGCTCGGGTCAGACCTGCTGTCAAAGTCCTTTCTCTCACTCCGTGGCCAGTGAGTCACCCTCTGTCAAGAGAATGTAACCTTTACGACAGATCACTTTCAAGCCCAAGGACCGGGGGAGGCCTGGTCTGTTCTGAAGTGCTCACGGGCCCTGGGTGACCCTCCATGCCGGGCCCTGGGGCTCCAGAGGTGGCTCTGAGCATCCTCCTGTCTGGGGCAGCCCTGATGCCGGGGTGGGGGACTGATCGGCTAGTCGGGTACTCCGGAGGCCTCATGCCAACCACCCAACAACCCTCCGCCCCGGAGCTCCGATGGGCCATCCCCATCCCAGCCCCTGCCTGAGAACCTTACTGGAAAACTGCCTCTTGCTCCGAACTTCTGGGATTTCAGGGGTCACAACAGAAGTGGGTGGGGTGGGGTGAGGGTTTCTAGGTGCTCCCCCCCCCCGCAGCCCTGTGTTTCCTTCATTGGAACATCAGTCAACACCAGGCTCTGCTGGGCTACACACCCTGGCCCAGTTTTTTTGTTTGTTTTATTTGTTTTATTTTTTATTTTAACTATCTCTGTATACAGCCCAGGCTATATATTCAAATTTGCAATCCACCTGCCTCGGTCTCTCAAGCGCTGCTTATATAGGTCAGATCTGCAGGGCCCTTCAAGACACTTTATGATGTCGGTCGGTCTATTCGCTTGTGATTTCCCGGTGGGAAGGGGAGGGGAAACGTGGCAGGCTGTAAAGGAAGGTTTCTTCCTCCGGCCTTTCCCAGCACAGGGCACACTTGGTAGGACCAAGGTGGACTGGTTGCTATGGAAACAAACAAGAGCATCTGTCACTCGTGGGGGGGGGGTAAGGGGACAGAGGCTGCAGGAAGAGCTGGTGCTGGTGGAGAGCCATTCCTGCTTTTGCAGAGCTTGGCGCCTCTGGGGACTCTGTCACGCGCGCGCGCGCACACACACACGCACTTGACGGCTGTCCCTCTTCAGCGTGACCAGCCGAGCAGAGGGCGCACTCCCTTCCCGGAGACCCGAGGCGGGCGTCACTGCGGCCACAAGGGAGTGAGGGAAGACCCACCTTCCCGGTGCCTCCGGACGGAGTGCAGAGAAGCTGCTGGCACGCATGTGTCCCTCGCCTGGTCCGCTGAGCTTCCCTTCGCTGAGATGTCCCTGCGGGCCTGGAAGTCCTCCTGCAGAGCTTGCCCGGAGCGAGGAGGTCCTCGGGCACCCACAGAAGCACACCCCCGGCCGCCATGCCAACACAAAGGGGCTCTGCGCCTCCTGGTGGGCACGGCTTTGAACTACAACTGGGAAGAGCCGCTTGGAACCTGTGTGGCCCCCCATCGCATTTCCTGGCATCCTCCTGCCTCCGCAGCTACCCTTTGGAGGCCTTCGACTCTCCTAATGGCCACTTTCACAGGCACCTCCAAAGCAGAATTCCCAGCACCATCTGGTCATTCTCCGAGTCTTTTGGGCCCTGGACCCTTTCTTGGGCCCAAGACAGCTGCGTTGTTTTTCCTGCATCAGTGAACCTTGTCCAAGCCAGGGTACAGCCTGGTCATCACTCCCAATTCCCAACGCATGAGCAATTAGCTTGCAGGCCCAGGGAGTTCAAACCATAAAGGTGACAATTAAAGTAGTTTTTATTTTTCTCTTTCTTTTCTTCTTCTTTTTTTTCTCTTTGTAGCCCTGACTGTCCTGGAACTTGCATTATATACCAGAACTCACAGAGATCTGCCAGCCTCTGCTTCCCTGAGTTCTGGGACTACAGGCCAGCTTAAAATATCTCTTAAGGCCTGGAGAGACGGCTCAGCAATTAAGAGCACTCGCTACTCTTTCGAAGGACCTGCTCTTTCGAAGGACCTGAACAGGACCAGAAGCCTGTAACTCCAACTCCCAAGGATCCAAAGCTTTCTTCTGGCTTCCGCTTCCTGGGGCACTTGTCCTCGTGCGTGTACACGCCCACGAATAAATAATGAATGAAATCTAACGGATATTTCTTAAATGCCCACACTGTGACCTCAGGACACACTTTGAACCATGTCCTCACCCTGCACCTAAATTTGGTTTGGTTTTGTTTGTTCAGAGGTCCTACGGAGCAGCCAGCCGAGCCAGGGGAGAGGGAACTTGACACCTGCTTTGAGAAGTCCCCTCCCACTCACGGCCAGTGTGTGACCTGTTTCACAAGCAGGTCTTGACTCCGCTTGGAGTGTAAACACTGAGTCAGTGCCGCTCGCTGCTGCAGACGTGTAAACAACTGACGGTCTCAGCCTCGGGGAGCAGGCGGGGAACCTAATCCTAAAAATAGGAAGGGCCCCGCCCTAGACATTTATCAAAGCAGATCGGGGCTGTAGGAACCAGTGCACGGTGGTCTCAGAGGAACCAGGAAAGGTTCCACCCCAGCCCCTGAGCCCCAGGAGGAGGGACAGCTAACCCCAGCACATCAGTGTGTGTGTCAAGGGACCCCTACCCCGCAGAGATTTTCCCACTGTCCCAGCTTGAGCTAAGTCAGCGCCACACTCGCTGACCTGGCCTGGCCCTTATCCGCCCTTTGGTCTGAAACTTGTTCTGCCCCTATGCCTGGAGCTCCCTGCCCCAGCTTAACTGATGTGCCTCACCTCCAGGGGAGCCCATCTCCGACCCTCCCCTGGGGTGGGCAGAGCGAGTGTGCTCCGCACGTGTCTGGCATTTGTCTGTGGGGGTTGGAGTGGGGCCTTGGATCACCTGGAGCTGCTGGGAACACAGGTCCTCTGAGAGAGCTGTCAGTGCTCAAGGGCTCTCCAGCCCTCTGTCAGCTTCCTGATCCTGCTTCCCGGGGACGCCGCCCACTCTGCTGTGGCCTCCTGGACCCTTTGTGGCCCTTGTGTGACCCACATATGCACATAGGTACGGGCTGTATGATGTGTGACCTGTGTTCTGAGAATAATTATTAGTTGTTAAGGCTGGAGTAAGGCTTGGGTGTGGTGGTGCGCACCTTGAGTCCTAGAACTCGGGAGGCAGAGGCAGGTGGATCTTTGTGAACTCAAGGACAGCCAGGGCTACATGGTGAATTCTAGGCCTTAACTTTTAAAAATAAATAAATAAATAAATAAATAAAGTAATAAGGGTGATGATGACTCTCGGGCGGGAAGAAGAAGGTTACTTGCCAGCAAGCCCGAAGACCTAAGTTCAACCCCAGGACCCACAAACCCCTGGGGAGGATCAGAATGATCATGAATGCATTCTGTATTCATCCGCCACCACCTGTGCCCACTCCTGCTTTGTGCGGTGCTGGGAATCGAACCCAGGGCCTTACACCTGCTCCACAAGGCCCCCTACCACCTGGGCTACCTCCCTAGGCCCCCTCCTCTTTGCTGTTCCTCTCAAGATTCCTGCTGGCCTGCTGTCTGGCTCCCAGTGCCTGAGAGCTGTCTGGGCACAGGCTGACGACACCCGTATGGGAGCTGCTTGGCTGGAGAGCTCAGGGCTGTCCCCAGGGAGTGCCCACTGCTTGGCACCCTGAGCAGGGCTGGATGAGGCTATGTTGGAGGCGCGTCCGTGGGTGCCCCTGGAGGGGCAGACTCGGCCCCATGCTTCATTAGTACATTTCTGTTCCCAGGATGTGGAAGACACATAAATACAAGAATTCTTGGATTGGGCCCCGGAGAGAAGGCTCAGCTTTCAGACACACACTGCCCTTGCCTTCAGGCTGGGCAGCGGAACTCCAGCTCCAGGGATCCGATGCCCCATTCTGGCTCCTGCATTCACAGGTACAAACCCACACAAATGGGAGCTAGAAGCGCAGAGGGGAAGGGGTGGGCAGAAGGCGTGCCCGCCAGCAGTGTGGGTTGCTGACGGCATGGCCACAGCCATCCACAGAGGCCCAGCCTCTGTCCGGTGTGGGCCGTTTGCTTTTTCAGGTTGGATGGGACAGTGCGTCAGTCTGTGTGACCCAGTTTCTAAAACAGTTACGTGTTTACGAACGACCACAACACCGCCGTCCGAATATCCTCAGACGGTTCAGTAAACATGAGTCATGGGGTCCCAGGCCACAGGTTCGGTTTTAACTGGAGCCGGCCTCCACGCCCCGCCCTGTTGTCTTGCTCCTGGATCCTGAGGGCTCCAAAGACCCAGCCGACGCCAGGCAAGGCCCCGTGTCCCTCCGTGTCCCTCCGCCCCGGGCGTGAGGTGACAAGGACACTCACACACACCCGTGGACACACCTCTGCATGGGTGGGCCGTGGGTAGATACAGCCCCAAAGGGTGTGGTCAGAGACGGTGGGACCGTTGAGACGCACTGAAGTCGCCTGCCATAGCCAAGTCTGCTCGGAGCCTCTCGTGAACTCAAGCCACCTGGGGTGGCAAAACCCTGTGTTTCCATAGAGGCCTAGAGCATAGTTCAAGCACGTAGCTGAGCAACAGCAGCAAGCAATAATGAGCAGTCTAAGTGAACCCGCCTATCCGCTATGGGGGGTGGAGACAGACGTCTAGGTCTTGAATTTATTGTTATTCTTAGGTGTCACGTTAAAATTCCTACGGGGCTGCCTCAGCCACCGGGGGCTCTTGCTGCCCGAGCAGAGGACCCCAGGTCAGTTCCCAGTCCCTGGGTCAGGTGGCCCACAGTTCTAGGAGACTCAGTGGGCCTCTGTAGGCTCGGCACTCGCACCCGCACGGGTACAGACAATCTAAGCTAAGTTCATAAAAAGCAAGACTTCGGAGGTCTTCGCTGAGGAAGTCTGAAAGGACGATTGTGATTGTGGAGAGCGTAGTAATTTGTACCACCTACCAAGCCCTGTCCATCCCCTCCCCCACACAGCCCCCCTCCAGGTCTGGCTTGAAGCACAGCTATAATCCCCGTCGACCTCCCCGCCCCCACCCCAGTGGGCACACAGCTGGGCCCATGACAAGCGTCACCACACCAGGAGGCTTTGTGTGTTTACCAAGGCGATGGTTAATCAATCCTTCTAAACCCTTGGTCGGTCGTCCTCTGTGGCCTCTCTCCCCGTTAAGTCACACCTTACATTCTTGACAAAATTTGTCGAATTAACAAAACAAACAAACAAACAAAAAACCAAAAGCAATTTGAGCTGGGGGTCTGGGGAGGTTTCAGGACAGGGATTCTCTGTAGCCTGGGCTGTCCTGGAATGCGCTCTGTAGACCAGGCTGCCCTCGAACTCAGGATCTGCCTGCATCCCTGGGATTAAGGCCTGTGCTGCCGCCACCACCCCACTAATAAAATGAATTTTAAAGACACGTAAACACACAAACAGACACTCTTTTGAAAGAGGGAAAGGAAAGAACTCCTGGACCCTGGAGTCCGGTCTGACGGAAGTCTGTGTCGTTAACAGTTTTACTCGAAGCTCCGCCCTGGGTGGTTCGGTTGATCCCAACCAGAATGAGCAAAAAGCGCGAGAGACAGACCGGAGCGGGCAGAGGCTGTGGCCCCTCGCCAGCAGCTCTCACGTGGTGCCCTTGAGAGCAGGGTCTCCGGGGCCTGAGTCAGCACGGCTGAGCTCACAAGCTGCCTCTGCTGCTCCTTCCGCTGGTTCCCGCGAGGGCAGGGATCCGTGTCTGGGCACCAGCGTTATCACTGCAGCATATTTAATATAAGGAGAGAAGTTCATTATGAAAGGGAGGGGGAAGGGCGTCCAGAAAGACACCGAGAGTCGGAGAAAAGAGGAGGGAGGGAGGAGGAGAGGGAGAGAGAGCGCCTTTATCTGGCTCGTCTCTACCGGCCGCTTCTGCAGGCGAAGACCTCAGGGGTTGCTAGGCAACCGAGATGCAGGCTCTCTGGACCAACCTAACAGTAACCTTCCCCACCGAAGGGAGGCTAATCTTGTTGAAGAAAGCCTAAGGTCTGGGACTTGTGACAGCCTAACTACACACACACACACACACACACACACACACACACACACACACACACACACACACACACTTAAAAACCAAAAGGAGGGGCTGGAAAAATGGCTCAGAGGTTAAGAGCACTGGCTGTTCTTCCAAAGGTCCTGAGTTCAATTCCCAGCAACCACATGGTACCTCATAACCATCTATTATGAGATTTGGTGCCCTCTTCTGTACATGTACACAGACATTGTATACATGATAAATAAATCTAAAAAAAAAAATAAAATCTGAAAAAAAAGGAAACTGTTCAGAAACTGCCTGTGAACTCGCCCTGCCAGTTCCCTAAACCCCGCAATGTGACAGCTGGCAGCGCAGCCCTGAGGCTATCCAGAGACTTCCAGAGTGTACAGGAGGATGCCCAGGGCTTGTACCAACTACCTCTCCAGCTTCTTCTTCTTACGCACTTGGGAAGATATTAAAACAGCCAGTTCCTGTCAGCTACCATGGTGTGTGTGTGTGTGTGTGTGTCTCTGTGCATATTATATAACATGTGTAAATATGTGTATGTATTTCTCTGTATGGTCGAGGGGATTCAGGTTAAGAGGGGTTTTCATTGTAGTTCTTTTCCTCTTGTTTTGAATACCTATTCAAAGGATTTCAAAAATGTATTTTATTCTGTGTATACGCACAGCCTGGGCACACGTGGGGGTCAGAGGACACCTTTCTGGAGTAGAGTCTCTCCTCACGTGGGTCCCTGGAGCTGAGCTAAATCAGCGGTCGTCAGACTTGGTGGCAAGCCCCTTTACCAGCTATGCTCTCTAGACAACCCGGAAGATTAGCAAGATGGGATCATTTCCCTTTGGAAGGACAGGGCTGAGTGTGTGTACCAGCACAAGCGGAAATGTATAACTTCCTCTGCAAAAGGGGCACACCGAGGTTTTGCGCTCAATAAAATATTTATTCCTTTTATAAAAGTAACACTACACATTAAACACCCAGAATGCACACACACAGAACTTGTAGTTATAAACAAACTTTCTCGGGACCGGAAATCCCTTTGAGGGGTTAGGAGGGGAGACAGACAAAGCCTCGAAAGAAGAGTGAAGGCAGAGGGGACAGAGGAGACCGGGAAAGGCAATCCTCCCCCCTCCCCATGAGCTGCCGGCAAGGAGAAACAGGAGTAACTGACTCAGCGCCCAGCTATCTAGAAGGTGGGCTTGCTGGGCAGACAGGAGGCACCCAGAGAGCATGGGGCTGGAGAGTTGTCTGTGGGCCTCGCTTCGGGAATGGGTTCAGGCGAGGCCAAAGGGAACTTCAGAGGCAGGATGGGTTCCACAGGCTTGAGAAAGAATGAATCCAGCAGGCACAGGAGCCAGACCTGAAAGGGTGATGGGGTCCGGAGTGGAAGAGAAGGCGACTGGGCCAGCACTCAGCTCTGAGTAATGGAGACCCCAGCTCTTTCCAGCTTTGCACAGAGCATTAGCAGCTGGGAGGAGGAGGGGTGGGAGAGGGACCCCTCTCCAGCGAGACCCCTGTCCCCTGGGAAGCAGCCTGGAGGGCAGGGCTTGTTTGGCTGTCCTTTACAGCAAATGGTTGTTCCAGAAGAATCGCAGCAGCATGGGACCCCTCAGGAACATCAGCACCACGAAAGGAGCCAGCGCCCCGCCGGGCTCCTGTGGAAGATGCTGTGCAGAAAGACAGTGGTCTCGTGGGTTAGGTTGCTAATTTGGGGCTGGCAAGATGACTCTGCAGAGAAAGGCACCTGCCGGCAAGTCTAACTATAAGGAGGGAACCGACTCCACAAGCCATTTCTTTCTCTCTCCCTCTCCTCCCGAGTATGCCTCCCAATGACTAATGTGAACAAAAAGAATGACAAATTTAATATACTACAAAACGTTAACTCAGCCCAGCCCCGCTGGTGATCGTGTGACTGAAGGTGACCACCACAACCCTTGCGGACATTTGGGGGACCACCGGACACGCATGGGGCACCCTTCCTCCCGCTCCTGGTGGTATCCCAGAATCCTTCCTGGCGGTCTCAGGGAAATAAGCAAGGCCCCCCTTGGGCCCCAGGGACCAGGCAGACATACATGAGTGACAAGCAGAGGCAGATCCTATCAGAGCTGGGAGGGACAAAGGCCCCAGCACTGTCTGTGAGAGGGTCAGCAGGGAAGGCGTGACACCAACAGGGACCCGGGGGCCTCCTGGTGGCTTTGTCCCACTCAAGAAGGGTCCTGGCCCCAGGGATGGTGGCACTCACCTGTCACCCCCCCCTCCCAGGGAAGGAGAGGGCAGGAGGGGCAGCAGGAAGTTTTGTGGAATCCTGGGCTGGGACTCCATCCCCGAAGGAAAAGCAAAGAGTTAGCAGAGCATGGGGGCACACGCCTTTAATCCCGGCCCTCAGGAGGCAGAGGCTGGTGGGTCTCAGAATTTGAGGCCAGCCTGGTCTACAGAGCAAGTTCCAGGACAGCCAGAGCTACAAAAAGAAATCTTGTCTTGAAAAACCAAAAAGAAAGAGCAAAATAAAGAGCTAGGAATACAGCATAGTCATAGAACACTTGCCTGGCATGGTGAGGCCCTGGGTTCAATCCCCAGTGTGTGTCAGGGTGGGTGGGTGAGGGTAGGGGATGGGGGTGGGACAGAGGAGGAGCCCATGAGGGGACATCAAGGCCCTTCATGTCTGCTGACACCCACCTCTCCATGACTGTATGTTTTTCTTTGGGGTTTGCTTTTTCTTTGGAGACAGGGTCTTGCTGTATGTCCCTGGCTGCCCTGGAGCTCACTCCCTTGCCTGTAACTTCCGCCTCTGCCTCCTGAGTGCTAGGGCTGCACGGCTGCACCACTGGCTTCCGCTACTGTTTCTTCCTGCATGGCCACGCTTACTGGGCTCCTCCCGGGCATTCTTCAGATGGCCACCCCTGCCTTGGGGCTCAGTGGACCTCACAGCCCCTCTCTACACCCGCCCCCAACTCCTGGTCTCTCAGTGAACCTGCCCTTCCCTCTTCCATTTTTGAGATTTAAAAAGAATGTATATGTGTATGGGTGTTTTTAACATTTATTATGATGATGTTGATGAGGGGGCGTGGGTACCCACAGAGATCAGAGCTTACTGAATGGCCCTGGAGCTGAAGTTACAAGTGGTTGTGAGCCGCCTTGTGCGGGTTTCAGGATGTTGCATTCAGGTCCTCCGGAAGAGCGGTACATGCTCTTACTCGCCATTCTGTCTGGTATTCTGTCTGCAAGTCTGCCTGGGTAACACTTGCATGCAATGCCATCATGAGGCCAGAAGAGGGCAGCAGTTCCCATGAAACTTTGGTCACGGTTGTGAGCTGTAACGATGTGGGCGCTGGGAGCTGAACTCAGGACCTCTGGAAGAGCAGCCAGTGCTCTTAACCTCTGAACCATCTCTCCAGGCCCCAGCAGGGGTCACTCTTAAGGGGCTGCCTCCTTTTCCCCCTGTCTTTTGCTCCCAGACAATTGCTACTATCTGATAATTACAGTCCATTCACCATTCGTCTCCGTGGGAAACTCCATTAATGGAAATCCGCCAGCAACAGAATAAGGAGTGTGGACTTGGTTCTGTCAGTAACTGAAAACACGAGAGACTTTGACCTTTCTGGAGCTGACATCAGTTAGGGAAGTTAGATGACCACCCCTCCAGCTTGGCCAGGAGAAAAACCAAAGAGTACATAGATAAATCACCAACCACTCAGCCACTCAACTGGTGGCCTCAGGCAGGCCGCCATGTCTCTGAAACCCAACTGCCTCCCCTGGCATGGGCTTTGTGGTAATTCACTGTGAGGGAAGTTTTCTCAGAGAGAAGGGGCTGGAAACCGGCCTCTTTCCCTCCTCCTAGCAAACTCTGAGTTCTCCCTGGCATTGCTGCATAACTCAGAGCTCAGGGAACAATGCCACATCCCAATCAGGCTAATCTGGTTAAATTTAGAGACTGTGGTCTCCAAGGGGCTGGTCCCAGTGCCCGGGAGGGACCCACAAAGGCACAAAGGTCCTCATGAGGCTAAGAGGCTGAAGTGCGATTCTATTGCGATGGTCTTGTTTTGCTTGAAACAAGACCTCAAGGAGCCCAGGCTAGCCTCAGACTCCCCGTGTACCTGAATTCCCGATCCTCCTGCCCCTTACTCCCAAGTGCTGGGATTCCGGTCTGAGCAACCACACCCCGCTTACCCCTGGCTTATTGGGGCTTGCTCCAGGATTACAAAGTTTGAAGGGAATTTTGTATTGTCTCCTCTTGGCCCAGGTTGTAAATAAAGGCAGGTGTGCTAATTAAGGAGCCTCGGTGGATTTTGGGGAAAGGTGGTGGCTCCAAGGCACAGCACCCCCTTCCCCGCCATGGAGCCTCCACGACCACTATTCGCTGCCGACCGCAGCTGAGTCTAGGGTATAACGGCTGTGAGCGGTCATTTCTGGGCACCGTGGCTACCTGGCCACCGCTGTCCTGTCTCTTCTGCCCTCCCCTCCCTGGCGGGTCCCTGCCGGGCACACCATGCTCTCACCTCCTGGATCATCCCTCGATTGACACTGTCCCCAATGTGTCTGAGCTGCATGGTCAGCTCCTGGATTTCTTCCGGCTGGTGATGGTGGCGGTTCCGGCCGCTGTCGCTCTCCTTCGGCTGAGAGACTGGACTGTGGCCTGCGAGGACAGAAGCATTCAAGAGACAGCCATCGACTCTGCAAAGCCACCTCCAGCCATTCAGAGCGGTCTTAGCACGGTGTGTGTATGCATGCGTGTGTGGGATGCGATTGTGTTTATTTCCTTTTCCCTTCCATTGGAGCAGGGATGTGGGTGAAGGCAGGCATCTCACAACTCCGCAGGACTGGATCTTTGCTTTCTTTCTTTTTTTTTTTTTTTTTTAACTTTTTTTTAAAGATTTATTTATTATGTATAAAGTGCTCTGTCTGCATGTACACCTGCATGCCAGAAGAGGGCACCAAAATCTCACTACAGATGGTTGTGAGCCACTGAGCCACTGTGTGGTTGCTGGGAATTGAACTCAGGACCTCTGGAAGTGTAGCCAGCGCTCTTAACCTCTGAGCCGTCACTCCAGCCCAGGACTGGATCTTTCCAGTTGTCCAGCATGCTTTTTGTTTGGGTTTGTTTTCTTTTTCATTTAATACCTTACCTGGGGAGACTTGCACATTTATTTCCTTGCACCCAGGGACTGCTTTTGAACCAGGAGAGGGTGAAGGACTCATGCTCATGGGTGCTTTGGGAACCTTGTCAAGAATAAAGTTCAGTAAGGAATCCCCAAATGTTTCAGGTGTGGGAAGAGATGTAAATTACGGCTGCTGAGGCTGGAGGGATACTCCGAGGTTCAGAGCACCGGCTGCCCTCCCAGGTTTGCTCCCAGCACCCAGACAGCGGCTCCCAACCATCTCTAACTCCGGTTCCAGGGGCCCTGACGCCCTCTTCTGGCCTGCGTCGGCATCACACACACAGGCAGGCAGGCAAACACTCAGACACAGAAATTGCTTTAAAAGTGGCTACTAGTGAGTGCACAGGGACCTCAGCGCCAGGACTTAAAGAGAAGCACTTGGCCGGTTGCGCTGCTCAGTGGGGGCTCTCGGCGCCTCCTCACCTTGGCCTTGCCCCTGGGGCAGCCCGGAGGCTCCAGCTCTGCTAGGAAGGCAGAGGTCATGTGCCCCCACTCTCCCTCCCTCTCCTTTCTCCCTCCGTCCCATCCTCTTCTCTCCCCCCTCTCTCCCTCTCTCCATTCTTTTCCCTTCCCCCTTCCTCCAGTCCACCCCTCTGCTTTCTTAATTTTTCAGACTTCCTTTTTCCTTTTCATTTTGCACTTTCTCTTTCTTGTTTCTTTTTATTTTAAAGGTGTATTTTCTTTTCAATCCCGAGTGTGAATGACTGGTGGCCATGAGCCACCCAGGTAGATACGAGGAACCATCTCCCATCTTTGTCTTTTAATTTTGTTTTTATTTTTGAGACAGGATTTCTCCGTGTAGCCCAGGCTGCCCTCACACTCACAGAGATCTGCCTGCCTCTGCCTCCCAGAGTGCTGGGATCACAAACGTGCTGATTTGAAGTTTCTTAATTAGTTTTTCCCCCCGGTGGCTCGGGGTTAATAGAAACTACAAGCTTTAGAAGGACGATGCAGCTGGCAACAAAGAGATGAGTTAGTCTACCACTGTCTTCCCGTAGTTAATGTTTATTTTTTATTTTAAATAATTTATATTTTATTTACGAGTATGTGGGGTGCGGATGCCTTTAGAGGCGACATGAAAGAGGGTTCCAGTTTCCCTGGAGTCACAGACAGTTGTGAGCTGTCCTGTGGGAGCCGAGATCCAACCCAGGTCCTCTGCAAGAGCAGCCTGCGCTTTTAACCCCTGAGCCATCTCTGCAGCGCCTTCATTTTTAAACCGTGCCCGAGTTTATGTTTCCAGTGCAAATAAAAACACATACTAAGTGAAATACTTCCCTGAGCTTGACGCTCACCCCTTACCTGGGTTCCTTGGCATAGCTGGAACTGGCGGCGGCTGACAAGTCCGGTCAGGAACTCCTGCGGAGTTGTTTGTCCAGCGGTGATTGGAAACAATTGGTTACTTTGAAGGTTGGACAGAACTTTGGGTTTATAAACAGTGCTAAGATGTAGGGGTTTGTTGTTGTTTTGCTGGCTGGAAAACACATCCTCTCGGTGCGTGGTGGCGCACGCCCTTGGGGAGGCGCAGGCAGGTGGATAGCTGTGAGTTGGAGGGAGGTCAGCCTGGTCTACAAAGCGAGTCCGGGACAGCCAAGGCTACAGAGGGAAACCTTGTGTTGAAAAAAGAAAAGAAAAGAAACGGAAAGGGAAGGGAAGAAAGAAGAAAAGAAATCCTCGGACAGTGTTCCCAGCAAACATTTGGTGTGTTAAGTGGACAGTCATGCTTTGAGTGACTTTCTCCACAAACAGGGCCTGCCGGCGGGCGGAGGCGGGGGAGGGCACTCTAAAGTGTGTCTTTTCCTGTAACGTTATCTCACGCATACAGATGTCCTGCCTGCGTGCAGATGTGTGTGCACCACATGCGTTCAGTTCCCTGGGAGGGCAAAGGAGGTGGCAAACTCCCGAGGGTTGGTTGTGAGCCTCCATACGGTGCTGGGATCTGAACCCGGGTCCTCTGAGAGCACGCCCAGCGCTCTCAATGGCTCAGTCATCTCTCCAGCCCTTTAAGGCGTTTTCCTATTTACCCAAAAATCTTTCCGGGATTCCTGGTCTTTAGATCCTCACTTCATACCCCAACCCTGTATCTCCAGGTTTCTTTCTTTTTTTTTTTTTTTCTCCCCCTCAAGTAATTTTTCTTGAACTTAGTAGCCGCACGGATGGAAGAGAAGTCTAATGGGTACACGCAGTGGACGAAGGTGCCAGCAGGACCTGGGGACACGAGGTCGGAGTCCTTCAACACACATACATGCTGGGCTGTCCTCCTGACCAGTGGCTTCTCTCCGGAAGGCACCAGGGCAGCTGCGCGCTTTCGGAAGGTCCCGTCTGCAGCAGCAGGCGTGGTCTCCGCCAGCTCCAGGTCCCGAGTTCGATCCTCCCCATCCCTCTGCCAGAGAGTGCTCCATGGCCTGGAAACCCAGAGCCCAGCACCTCAGGGTGGCTTCTGCTTCAGGTCTGGGGAGTCGGGGTCACATTTGCTTGGGGCGGGGGGGGGGGGGGGGGGGGGGGGGGGGGGGTCCCCCCTCGGGGGGGCCGGGGGGGGGGCGGATGTGCACGATGCTGTTTCTCCTCTTGAAAAGCCACTTGATGCATTGGCCCCGAGAGAAGGCTCTGTTCTCCTCAATGCCAGCCAGAGCCCGCTTGCTCAGGGTGAGCTAAGCCACCTTGCCCGCAGTGGTCCTGTGCCCAGGGCCTCCTTCAGCACGGAGGAGGCGCCGCTGGGGGCGACGTCACTGCGGATCAGGCCACTGCATGCTGTGGTTTGCAGTGGCCCAAGGCGTCTGCGGGACCCTTTGACACTCCTGGCCAGCTGCGTCCTTGCGGGCCAGGGAGCCTGGGGTGTGGTCATGCGTCACTATCTGTGCGTGGCCCACGCCTGTGAAGCGGGCTTCGGGTGCCCGGGCTGGTTCGTGGTGGTGCCGGGACCCCGCAGGGTGAGGGGTAGGTTGGTCGGGACAAGGGCTTGGTTAGCACCTGCTGTCGCCTTTAGCGTATCAGAAGCCATTTTGCCTCCAAGTCTCCGTTTTGATCATAAGGTGAAATTAAGTTCAAGTTCTCAGGCCTGCTGCCTGAGACCAGGATACAATTCAGTAGCTCAACGCTTGCTGCCTAGAATAAAACAACAGGCAATGAACACGTGTTCTGCTGGGGTTAAAGACTGCAACATCCTAGGTCCCCCAAAAGCCCCCCAAAGCTCCCCTACCCCAAATCCCAGCCAATCAGCTTAAAGCGCTTTGTCTAGCTACGGAGATACAACACAGTTCACTGAGATCAAAATCGACTGTGTTTAGCCGGTCAAAACGATGTAATGCTGCCCCTCCTTTTGGTTTTTAATTGTGTGTGTGTGTGTGTGTGTGTGTGTGTGTGTGTGTGTGTGTGTGAGAGAGAGAGAGAGAGAGAGAGAGAGAGAGAGAGAGAGAGAGAGAGGGGGTGCGCTGGGGTGCTTGAGGAAGCCAGAGGCATTGGGCTCCTCGGTACTGCAGTTATGCCAACACGCCTGGGTCTTGAAATAGCTGGCATTTAGCAGACTTCGCTCCTGGGTCACGGTAGGCCACACCTCCTTTCTGTGCGTTTCTTCCCGTGATCCTCTAGAACGGCAGGGGAGGGAGGGCTTTGAAGCCACAGCATAGGCGGAGCCGCAGTGAGGCCGAGGTCTCTCGGGATGCGGCCCCTCGCTGCGGTGCCTGCGTGGAGAGGAAATGTCTTGGCGCCGTGGTTTTTGACAGAGGGGAGCAGGGAGCGGCTGATCTACAGCCACAAGGACGTCGAACTGCCGAGGGGCACGGCTCCAGTCCCCACGGCTCTCAGTTAGTGAAGAGATGCTCGTGTTCGGGGATTGGGACTTATTTCTAGTTAGTGAAGAGATGCTGGTGTTCGGGGATTGGGACTTATTTCTTTAGAGACAGGATCGTGAGTGTCCCAGGGTGGCCTCAAACTCAGCGTGTGGCCAAGAACTCTGGGGCCTCCTGCAGCGGCGCTGAGCGACCGAAGGCCTGATGTTCGCTGCCTCTAATCTTGGTTTGACAGATGTGCATTTGAAGGCTTGCAGACTTGTTTTTTTTCTTTTTAGGTGCAGTCTATTTAAAACTGATAGAGGGTAGGGGCTGGGCAGATGGCTCAGCAATTCAGGGCCGCTCTTCCAGAGGACCCCAGTTCAATTCCCAGCGCACACGTGAGGTGCACAGCTCTCTGTAACTCCAGTTCTTCCGGGTACATAGTGCATAGACATACATGTAGGCAAAACACCCATACACATAAAATAAAAATAATTTAAAAGTAGAAAAATCTTTTGAAAAGCATATAAAACGACAATTGACTGGGCTACATTTAAAAAGAGAAACGCACTGGGCAGCGGTGGCGCACGCCTTTAATCCCAGCACTTGGGACAGAGGCAGGTGGATCTCTGTGAGTTCGAGGCTAGCCTGGTCTACAGAGTGAGTGCCAGGACTGCCAGGGCTACACAGAGAAATCCTGTCTTGAAAAAATGGAAAAACCAAAGAGAGAGACAGAGAGAGACAAAGAGAGAGACTGAGATTCATATAAGGTAACAAAACCTCCCAGTATGCAGTATTGGGTTTGAGAATAAGAACTGTATATTCACAAACAGGAACCGTTGCAGCTAGCTCACGGCCTGGGACTCAGGTGCAGTGGTGTGATCTGGTAAGCAGAGTGAGGAGAGAGAGACAGCCCTCTTCCAGCCAGCCTCCACTGAGGCCTGGGGTAACCCATTCTGCATTCCCTGGCTTCCCCTCTCCACCTTGACCCCTGAGGCTTTGGCTTAGGGAGTTCTGCTTGGTTTGGGATGCTCCAACTGAGTGACCTATGGGTTCCGAAATACTCGGCACTCTGTAGTGAGCCCTTGCCCTCTTCAAACTTGTAATGCTTGCGGGGTCTATAAAATCTGGGCTACCACTCATCACCGGAGACTCATCTTTTTATTTATTTATATGTTTATGTTTATTTGCTTAATTTTATGTGTATGCCTTTGGCCTGTGTACACGCAGGAGTCCCTGAAGGTCAGAGGAGTGCTCCGGGCCCCTGGGGACTGGGGTTACAGATGGTTGTGGGCGCTGGGAATTGAACATGGGTCCTTGGCAAGAGCAGTCCGTTCCCCTTCCTGCCGAACCGCCTTCCCAGCTCCTACCACGTTTGTATCGTTACTATTATTATTTTTAACAGGGCCTCACTGTGTAGCCATGGCTGTCCTGGGACCTGCCACCTAGACCAAGCTAGCCTTGAACTCAGAGATCCACCTGCCTCTGCCTCCTGAGTGCTGGGATTACAGGTGTGGTGGTGTCTGCATGTACGCCTGGACACCAGAGGAGGGCACCAGATCTCATTATAGATGAGATATAGACCTGTGGTTGCTGGGAATTGAGCTCAGGACCTTTGGAAGAGCCATCAGTGCCCATCAGCACTCCTAACCTCTGAGCCATCTCTCCAGCCCTTATTTTTCTCTTTAGGTAACCTAGCTAGTGTCCGGCCAGCAAGCCCCAGGGCTCTCCCCGTCTCTAGAGCTGGGATCTAAGCATATGCTGAAGCAGCTAGCTTTCTGAAGAGCCTCATACTTTCTCAGCCATGGCTTTACCAGCTGAGCGTGGTGGCAAGTATGTGTAATTTTAGTAGTCAGGGGGTTGAGGCAGGAGGATTGCCACAAGTGTGAGTCCAGCCGTAAGCTACAAAGTGAGTAAAATAGAATAAAATAAAAACCTCTTTCCTTTGGTTGTTTAGAACTTTTTTTAAAAAAATAATTTAATTTTATTTTATGTGCATTAGTGTAAGGTGTCAGATCCCTTGGAATTGGGGTTACAGACAGTTGTGAGCTGCCATGTGGGTGCTGGGAATTGAACCAGGGTCTTTTGGAAGAGCAGACAGTGCTCTTAACCACTGAGCCATCTCTCCAGTCCCTGTTTAGAACGTTTAAGGAAACGTCACGAAGAATGTTCAATGTTCTAAAGTATTTACTGGCAGCAGATGCAATATTTTAGGAAAGGTAATAAATCCATTAATTGAATGAACCTAGACAGCCTTTCAAACCAGCCATTATGAACAATATAAGTCCCAGGCCGGCCAACCTGGCTTTAGAGTTACAGTCTCAGATGGTAAATCTAGCTCAGAGGCTTGCTACATGGGGATACAATTAAATTAAGAATAAAGTGGTAAAAAGCAGCAGAAATACACATTTCCCACATGCCGCTTATAATTTGATGTTAATCCAACATCAGTGCCATGTCTGATATGCTGATGTGATATTTAATCAAAAGGCAACCCTGCTCATCTTAACTATTAACTAAACATGTGTTATCACGTGTCCCCGATGACCGGTAACAGGTTAACTAG